GAAGAATTTCTTTCAAAATACTTATCTAGTACTTCCTTCGTATACAACTATGAGTTCCCTCTACTCAAATGAAGATATCCATAAATATTCATTAAGTATAAATAAAAATAAATTTATTATTATCATGGGAAAAGGTGCAAATAGGCTCATGTACTAATAAAAAAAGGTCAAATAAGCCCTTATTTAGGAGGCTCTGTCCGGCCGTCTCCATTTGGGGTGGTTCCCGGTGGAATTTTTTGATGAAATTTTTTGAGCATCTTATTCATCAAGTCTAGTTTACGCATACCAAATTTCAACTAAAACTTCAATCGGGAAGGCATTCAAACGAATTCTTGAAAATAACTGCGCAGTTAGAAGCGCAGTTATCTTCAAGAATTCATTTTAATGCCTTCCCGATTGAAGTTTTAGCTGAAATTTGGTATGAGTAAACTAGACTTGATGAATAAGATGTTCAAAAAAAATCATCAAAAAATTCCACCGGAAACCACCCCAAATGACGACGGTCGGACAGAGTCTCCTAAATAAGGGCTTATTTGACCTTTTTTGGTTAGTACATGGGCCTATTTGCACCTTTTCCCTATTATCATTGGAGAATACTCTTATACTAATCATAGTAAAAACATTTTAATATAAATAAATTTTTCTTCCCTTTAAACATTGAATAAATTTTAGACAAAACAAACCACCATAAGTGAAAACTACAAATAACACTTTTGCGACTAACAATTTTAAAAATTACTTATCCAATACCAAAAATTCATTTTGGAGTCATAAACAAAGCATTATCACCAACTCATTAGTGTTTATGATTTCCCCGATTGATATTCTCTGTATTAAAAAAAACTGAATAAAGTATAAACGTTAGCATGGGTGAAGAAACCATACAATAGCTCATTTAATCACCCAAATCTACATATTGCAGTCTTATACTAATGCTAGGCTCCAACGTACTTCGTATTTTTCTAATTATTACGTAGTATATTTTTGAGCATCATAGCCCAACATCTCTTCTTAATCGGCCAAACAAAACATATATGTTCTCAAAACAGGCCAGTCTAGCCTCAGCCCCATTATATTTCCTATGCATATGATAATGAACGACTAAATGCTCATCACTTAACGGTTTCACATATGAAGTCCATTCATCGATATTCCGTAGCCTTCTTTTCCTATCTCGATCACTTCCATAAACTTATGCATTCTTTGGTGATGAAACCAGCTCATCTTCCGCCATCATCTGCAATCTTGTTTAATAATGTTTCGGTTTGTACGATGAGTACTACTCATTAGATTTTATTTTAACACTCGAAATACAACTGTCTGTAAGATTACAAAAATTTGTTTTTGATTTTCCACCAAACTCCTCTTTTTTTCTTCTTCTCCTTCACCTCTTTTCCTGCCAAACTCCTCTAATACTATGCATTTCTTATGGATTTTAATTTTCTATTTAAAAGTTCAGATCAGATTTAAAATCAAGTGTTGTTTACTTTATCAAATTTGATACTTTTTAAATTCATTTATGCTCAACGCCTGAAACCATCTTAATGACTACAGATCTTAAATACTTGTATTTATTTTCTGCATAATCTCTTTTCAGTAGGACACAAAGAAATGAGACCAAGAATATAATAACTTAAGATATTCAATGAGTCGCAATATATTTTCTGCATCAATATTTTGTTACTATATATATATGGAGTAATACACTTCTTCATTTCTCGTGTATCTGTATATTTTAATAATGTAGCTCACAGGATCTGTCATTCAATTTCAATGCGAATTACACAATGCAATAAAAGATATGATAAGTATTATTTCAGTGAAAATATGTTCTGCATATTTTTGTTAAACCATTAGTTTTAAGAATAAATTAATTCTTGTATAAGATATTGAAAGATAAACAAATTTAAGATGTTGATATTTTTGCTACAGACAACTTTATTGAGTTCTTATTCTCAAATCTGATCTGCTATAAACAACATAACTTGCATATTCATTTTTATACAATACTTGTATCTCTTAGCTTATTGAATTCCAGATAGAGAATAAGGAAAATTTGTGCTAGCCTTCTGTTTTAAGGTATACTTGTATTTAACATTTATTTTCTCCATACTTGTTGTGATAAAAACTAAGAATAAAAAATGAGCTATCATTTTGTACCTGAATTTCAGCAGAAATCCGATTTGAATATTTGTATCAATCACTTACGTATATAAATTGGACTGCTGACTATTTTCTATTAAAAAATATGCTCTGCAGTTTTAGGAGTAACCCCTGTTTCTACGTATTGTAGTAACCATACTCTGATCTATCTAACATAATTAGATTTAGCCTAAATATCTCTTATTTTTATTACATACACTCAGAACACAGCAAGTACATTTTTCAATAAAAAACTGTGGTATTCATAGTTTTTCTTCTGTGATCAGCTGATAAAGTGATGAGACAACTTCATATTTTATCATTAAAAAAATACTTTTGTGCTATTCTCAAAACTCATCCGGAGTAGTATATTCAGATTAATCAAATCATCCATCACAAACATATACTCCGTAGTAATGAGAATAGCAGCATCTTTGATTTGGAAATTAAAAAAACTACATGTACAAAAAAACTACATATACATACTCTGAAGTGGGATGTGATACGGAGTACTAATGTTCAGAGTCTGAACATTAAAAATAAATTTTTTTAAGGCAGTCTATATTATTTCTACCGATAGATGTGATAACTAATTTACACAATAGTTGTTGAACAAAATAGTTGTTTAAATTCAGCCGCTTTTGAACTATTCATTTTAAAGATTGTGTGATCTAACTTCTTAAAGCACTTAAGCAAGTCCTGAGATGGGTTAATAATGAGAAGTACGGAGTAAGGAATTTGAAGGTGGGAAAGAATGAAGTGCGAGAACACAATAGACTCGTACCGCAGGAACCTCCTTGACAGCATATGGAATGTGATGGTTTTATTGTCTCTATGGAAATCAATTTTCTTGATAAAACGTCGGTTAAATTGTCTGTACATATATAATTTGACCGGCGTGTAACCCGACGTGTAACCCGGCGCGGGACTCTCAATGAATAATGAATTGAACTAAATCATACGGAGTATATACGTACTGTATAATATAATTATAAAAGTATGGACTTGTAATGTGTTTTTCAAGTTTATGTCGTTCTCAAATTGAACTTGATTTAAGTAAATCATATAATATCACATTCTTGGAAATAAATCAAATATACTTTATAATTATAAAAGTATGGACTAAGTATAGAAGTATGGACTAATAAGTTTGTTTAGTTCTCAAATTGAACACGATTTAAATAAAGTACACTGCCATTCAAATAAAAAAACAAGATAAGACTAAAACAATACACATTGTGCCGATCTCTGTAAGTTCATTTCAATAAAGCATGACTTGGAAGTAGCAGTTGACATCGTACCCAAACTTTTACGTAGAAGAGGTATTTTTGTACTCTTATCCCATCGTTTACATTTTATGGAAAAGTGTAAAATAGGTTCCCGAACTTTAACAAAAAGGTCAAATAAGTCCTTCTATAGAAGGCTCTGTCTGGTCGTCGCCATTTGAGGCGGTTCCTGGTGGATTTTTTTGATGAAAAGTTTTGAACATCTTATTCATTAAATCTAGTTTACTCATACCAAATTTCAGCTAAAACTTCAATCGGGAACACATTCAAATTAATTCTTGAAAATAACTGCGCGGTTAAAAAAGAAATAAATACTCCCTCTATTTTCATTTGTTTGACACACTTTCTTTTATTGGACGTTTCAAAATAAATACCATATGTCTCATTTGGTAAACAAAATATTGCAAAACAATATCAAACAGTGTCAAACAGTGTCCAGATAATGTTCAAACAATGTCCAAACAATAAATTTTACCCTTAGTAAATAATTTCCTTAATTTTTTTTTTGGGGAATAATTTCCTTAATTTTTGTGAAGTTAAACTATGTCAAAGAATTGGAAATGGAAGGAGTGCATATTTATGATCACAATAAAAATTATTTGTAAAGTGTGACATATTATATACCGTGACTACAAGTCTACAACAATAACATTAGTCATTCTTTTATAGTAAATAATTTTATTTTAATAATATTTAAAAAAAAACTTTTTAAACAATACACTCAATTAAACTCAGTAATATATTTCATCATTGAGAATTCAATTAAATAGTTTATGCCTTTATGGTAATTCATTTTTATTTAATTTAACTATATACTCCGTACTACGTACGAAGTAGTTTGTTGTAATAACTTACGTAGTAAATACAAACAGGTGCTTACACACATTTGCTACGTACCAGATAGCTTACGCGCGTCACTTACATCCACGCGCTAAACGGTGACAGATTATAGTCATCCACCGTCAGAACAGACGCAGTCCGACGTCGAATCTCTCTTTTTCTTCAACAACCTCCGTTATCTCTTTCCGACTTTCCTCTTTTTGATTGAGCCAAGAGAAAAGGGAGTTTCAGCGCAAAGTCTCTTTGTAATCTATCGAATGCTTCTCCATCTCCATCTCTTCAATCCTTCTGAGTACACCCGTTAATGCCAATACGAATTCGTGCGTTCATCGGCGTACGGCACGCATTCCGTCGTGTTGGAGATCGGTAGAGGGAATGGAGGTGGAGTGGTGGTTGGGTCTGGCTGAGCTGGTCAACAAGCCAGAGGTGGTGGAAGCATTCGTCGACATTTTGGTCTGCGTCGTGCCGATTTGGGTGGCGGTGATGATCGGACTCATGATTGGCTGGTCCTGGCGGCCTCGCTGGACGGGAATAGTTGCTATCGGGCTGCGGTCGAAGCTGAACAGGATCTTGTGGACAGTTCCTCCCGGATTCGGTGCTCGCCGGCTCTGGTTGGCGTTCACGGCTCTGTCTGCCTTCTCCGTCGGGAGGAGGTTGTGGAATAACAATTTCCGTGGCAGGACGCGGAAACCGTCTGTAAAGGAGGATGTTTCCTCTTCGGTGGATGGAGAGGTAGCTAATCAGACGGCCACGACCTCGAATTTGGTCGCGAGGAGGAGCACTGATGATATTATCGAGTATGCTTCAATTCTTTGAGTTTAAGCATTTCCAGTTTATGTGCGTTTATGATTTTTTTCTTCTTTGAGAAGTCATGGTATAGGTGAGAATTTGTTATTGACAGCATTTTCTACGGATTAATGGGTTGATTTAAGAACAATTGTAGCTATGCTTTATGCTTATGTGTTGCCCCACTCATTGCATACACTCTCGAAAGAGAGCTCAGTGCTATTTTTCCGTATATGTTGAAGCAATACTTTCTCAAATAGAAAGTGAAAGATAGCTTTTCACCCACGATGCTGGGAGAAACAGGAAAACAAAGCATAGGAGCAATTAGTTGTTCTCCAGAAATGTAAATAATGCTATAGATCTACAATATTTTGGGTTGTAATAGATTAAGGCGGTGCTAATATGATTAAATGATCAAAAGATTTGTCTGATTTAGTTAAAGATTTGATATTTTTTGTCTATGTCATTAGTTTGTGCCGATCTCTGGAGGAATGATGGATATAGATGGAGTTAAATAACATTGACTATTGTCTTTAAGTAACCAATGCCTCCATAAAGTGGCTTGTATTTGAGATTCATACCATACTATTGTTTTGCACTTAAATGTGATGCACCCCTTACATTCTTTATGGAGTTGATTTATCTCTTAACTCCCTGTTACAACATTGTCCAAACAGACTCTCACCCTGGTCTTAACTCCCTTCAATGCATGGGCATCTCATATGAATCTCATTGCGGACTACCTTGGTATATAAGATACAGCCCAATTGTTTATGGTTTGAAATTACACTTAATTTGATTTAACAGATGATGTATTTTTAACAAGGTTACATTATAAGCACTAACATACTATTGATTTGAGATTTTTATTTTTTATATTTTGGAAGAGAGAACTACTTCCTCTGGAGCTTATTGTACAAATGTTTTTGATCAAACTTCTCAGCCAAAAGAAATTAGTTGATATTTTATTCTTTAATTATATATTACGATATTCTAATTTGGCCAGTTTTAATCTTTTTATTATGACTTGTGAATGTGTGCTTTGGAAAATAAATAAACATCAAACCAATATGTATTAGGGGCGTATAATGGGTAATAAATGCTTCTTAGAGGAAACACAATGCCTTGTATAAAGGACCATTGGCTCCTTTTAAAAGGTGGTTTATAATAAGGATAGGAGGGAGCATCTGAATGCTTTTTCTTTTATTAAAGTAATGCTACAAAAAGGTTGTGAGTATTAGTTATTCAGTTTAGGCTTGGTCGTCATGCAGGTCATTAACTGGAAATGCCGGACAAGACAAAGAGGATGTAACAGAAAACGATTTGAAACATTTTCTGCTACTCCTAGATGGAAAAGAAGAGGGGGTGGGATGGCAATGCATGATGGAACGCTCTACTTCAAATATGACATACCAAGCTTGGCGCCATGAGTCTGAGGTTTGTTTTGAACTTTAGTCTTTGATGTGTCTCTTTTACAACATTCTGTGACCAACAATACCTTCTTAACATAGTTTGATAGTTTTCATGTGAAGGATGTAACTGAATTGCATTATTACTTTTAAATTACCGTGAAATGTATTACCTGTTTTTGTTCTCTTTCTCCCGTAGTGGTGTGAAGATTGATTTAGTATTCCTTCTCTTCTTCTAGGGACAACTGGCCACCTCTTTGACTGATTGGGACTTTTTACAATTTGATTAACTCAAAAGATGTTTGTTTGAGTAGCAGATTGCACATTTGCACATTTGACAAACAATGTATTCCCTGGTAAATAATATACATGGCTTGCAAAATATTGAAGCTTTAGGGCTCATTTTGTATGATTTTTAATAGCTTAAATTTGCTGATTTTTCTGAAGGGAAATGTGTTTGTTAACATCAATTTCAGTCGTATAAGTCAGAGACTAGGTATTCCGCTGATAGGCAGAACAAGCCGATTATGGCTACCACAGGGGCCTTAACATTGGTCATGCTTTACTTAATTAACTGCTGGGATGCAATTCCTAGGCATGCTTCTGCCAGGGGATTCTTGGCATCCTGTATAGACAGTTAGACACACACAATTACACAAAGATACACTTTTAGTTTGTTTAAAGTTTGATAAGTGAGCATTCCCCTTCACATGTCATGTTCAACTTTTTATTTTCAACTGGGCCACAGATAGACCCACCTGGGTTGCTTCTCCAGAGCAGAACTGTTTTTGAGGATGCTACTCCGGAGCTTGTCAGAGATTTCTTCTGGGATGATGAGTTTAGGCCTAAATGGGATCCCATGCTTGCATATTTCAAGATATTGCACGAATGTCCTGAAAATGGGTTCATGATAGTTCACTGGATTAAAAAGGTTGGTTAGAGACGAGTTTTATAATTCTAATCACACCCTTGTCCAAAGTAACATATAACACTCAGATGACCTGAAACTGTTTGTATGCAGTTTCCATTTTTCTGCAGTGATCGTGAGTATATCATTGGTAAGCGAATATGGGAATCCGGAAGAGCGTATTATTGTGTGACAAAGGTATAAGCTTCTTGAACCTGATTATTATTAACTTATAGCCCAAGCTCAAATAAAGTATGGTTCTTGCTAGCGGCGGACGCAGGATTTCCCGTTAGGAGGGGCAGCAGTATAAAAAAAATACATACAAATACATATATATTAAAAATTTCGGGGTCAATATACCTAGAAAAAAAATTGGAGGGGCAGCGGCCCCCAATTGCCCCCCTTTGGGATCGCTGCTGGTTCTTGCCAAGTTTTCAACTTTATATTGTACTCCATATTAATTGAAGGCTTTGTAGTTTTAGAATATGGGATTGTGTTTCTCTAGTGCGTTGATTAAGGATATGTTTAGATTTCTTAGTTTTAATATAAGAGAAATAAAATGAGTTGGAATCTTTATCTTAAATAAATGTATCAAGTATGAATCAACTCTTTTTTTGAAGGATGCATGAATCAAATTTTATTTTCCTCCAAGTTTTATTTCTTTCCAACTTTCCTTTTTGTTTTCCTCGCGGTTTTTCTTCCTTTGTATTTACCGAGTTCCAAACAGACCCTTTTACCAGTATACAGTTCAGAATCACAAACAGCATTCTATCTAGTTGATCTCATTTACAATTAGTTTTGGATTTCCACAACACTAGTGTGCATGATGGTATGTTCTAACCTGTTGATTCCAACTTCAGAGTGTTCCATATCCAGATGTGCCAAAAAGAGACAAACCCAGGCGTGTGGATGTGTACTTTTCAAGTTGGGTTATCAGGCCTGGTAGGTTCTATCATTATCATGAGCTAGTGGTTAGTAAATTATGCAGTGTTGTCAAATTCGGGCTAAGCAGTCTCTAGACACCCCTAGGCGGAAGCGAATATTAAACTCATCCTCCTCAAGGGTATGTTTGGATCTCGGAAAATGATAAGGAGAAGGAAAAGAATTTTCAAATGATGTTACTTTTTAATGTTTGGTTTTATTTTGTGAACTACAAAGGAAAATGAAGTATGAACAACAACTCTTTCACTTTTTATATTTGAATTTAGATTTGATAATCTGTGTATAATGGAAATAAATAAATAATAAATAAATGATTTGAGCAAAAATCTAAGATATACTTATTGAGTTTGAAACAATTTTTAAATGTCCATCATTTTCCCTTATAATTTTTATAATCCTTTTCTCTACTCTTTCCTAACTGTTTGCTTCTATCCAACATTTCATTGGTGGTTACTTCATTTTTAGCATTTCTTTGAAATACGCGACTGAAATGATAAAAAGAAAAAAGAAAAACCCGACATAAATTACAAGAATATTATCATGTACTGTATATTTTATGAAGCCAGGTTGCCTAGTTCTTTCTATAACAATGGTTATCACATCCTCTTATCATCAAAATTCCCACAACTAATCCAAACTTGTCACAATGTTGATTTAGTGGAATCTCAAAAGGGAGACGGGCAACTATCTGCCTGTGAAGTCACACTCACCCATTACGAAGACATGGGTATTCCAAAGGATGTAGCGAGGCTCGGCGTCCGCCATGGCATGTGGGGAACCGTTAAGAAGCTTCACGCCGGGTTCAGAGCGTATCAAAACATGAGGAAATCCGAAGTGCCGATATCTAGGTGTGCCATGTTGGCGCAGATCAGTACGAAGATGTCGAGGGAGGATTACAGTCACCGAGAGCATCAAGTAGCATCCAGTAGGGAGGAACAAAGAAGAGGTGGTGAGCTTTCATGTGCAGGAGAGAGGAGAAATGGTCAGGGCGTTGACTGGAAATGGGTGGTCATAGGGGGAACAGTTGCCCTGGTCAGCCTCCACATGGGGTTATTCGGCAAAGCTGTGTTACTTGGGGCGGGGCAGAGGGTTGGTCGTCAGAGACGGTGATATCCTCAGCTGAGTTGCTTTCTGTTTGCAGCTCGGGATGCCTTCGATTTTAGGGATTTTGTTTTACCGATTGTTGTGATGAATATATAAAAACATGTTTATTAATATTATGAATAGATTGACTTCTAAAGTATAAAAACATGTTTATTAATATTATGTTCTTAAAACTGGACCGGAAGGTTACCTGGACAAGTGACCGGGTCAAGGGTCAACATGGACCCGAAGTCTACGGTAAACTGCTGGGATACCCGAAGAGTATACGGTTTGATTGGTTCGGTTTGTTTCGGTTCAGTTTCGATTCTTTCGGGTTTTTACTAAAAACTTGTCATTTGATTTAAAATTGATATAATAGTTGGAGGGATCAAACATTTTACGTAAAAAATGCAAGCATACTAGAATAAATGAAGTAAAAATAAATAAATACAGTATGTCTTGAATTATATGAGTATGGAGAGATATAAGTGTATACTGTATATTCTTAATTTACATTGTTTGTGACTAGTTTGAAAAAAGTTTATGAATACATACATCTTATGTGATATAGCTGAGATGAATATTTATTTGTTTTATCGATATAAAAAATGTACGTTACATAAAAATAAAATTTAATTACAGAAATTGTCCTAAATAAGACTAATTAGTTCCTAAAAAGCACAAATAGGACTACTACTTTTTAAATTCCCTAAATAGGACTAAACATTGATTTTCTACCCTAAATACCCCTAAGAGTATTAATTTATAAAGAAATGCTTTAATTCATAATAAAATCATAAAAAACGTAAAAAATATTTAAAAAACGTAAAAAAAATTATAAAAAATTTATAAACCATTTATAAAATAAAAAATTTAATTTTTTATTTTTTTAATTTTTTAAAAAAAATAATAAAAAATAGTAAAAATCCATAAAAAATGAAAAAAATTATGGATACCTTTCCCACCGCCTCCCGCCGCCTCCCAGCACCACCACCTCCGATTGGTGAAATTTCTTCCACTTTTGGTAAAAAAATGCCATATTTTTCTGAAAATGCCAAAAAGATGGCATAATTACTCTTCAATATGCCAACATTTTCATTAAATATGCCATCATTATGGCATTATTTAAAATGTTGGCATATTTTTCTCCGGTGATGGGAGCTGGTGGTGCTGGGGGTGGCAGGGGTGGTAATGTTTTTTTTTAATTTTATGATTTTTTTTATTATTTTTTATTTTTTTTTTATTTTTTTTAAAAAAAATTTTAAAAAAATATTTTTTATTAATTTTCTATTATTGTTTTACGATTTTTGGTATTTTTTTCGATTTTTATTAATTTTTTTATGATTTTATTATTAATTAAAACATTTCATAAGTTACAAGGGTATATTTGTCCAAACACACATAAATAGTCCTATTAAGGGAATTTAAAAAATGTAGTCCTATTTGTGCAATTTTGCCACTTTTTAGTCCTATTTAGGGAATTTAAAAAATGTAGTCCTATTTGTGCAATTTTGCTACTTTTACTACTAATAACAACTAAAAACAATAATCATGCAACAAATTGAAACATACTTACATACATAAAAGACATAATCAATCAATATAGCTACATTATTATGGGCAATGAATGTTTAAGTGCATTTATAAACTAAATTAAGCAAAACATAACACAAAAATTATTTGTCTAGCACAAGAAAATCAAAGACTATTGATGATATTAGGATTAATGCTTAAAACTTAACGAATAAAATGTCATATTTTAAATAGTTCGGTTTGTTCGGTTCAGTTCAATTTTGGAGGGTGAAAATAAAAAAACCGAACCAAAAAAACTACGGTTCGATTCAATTTTTTACATCCGGTTTCGGTTTTTAGAGGTTCGGTTTTATTTGGTCGCGGTTCAATTTAATTTGATTTGGTTTTCAGTTTTCGGTTTTCCTGACCCAGCTCTACAACGTAGTGTTGTGGTAACTTATGTTCAAAACTTGAACATGAATTATTATGATTTCATTATTACTCTAGTAACTAGTCGTATTTTTGTAAATCATATTTATTCTGGTCATATTTATGTAATTATTTCAATTCAAAACTACTTTTATTTTGTCCCCTTCTTTTAAAAAGTTATAAGAGTTGCATTTAAAAAGATTACTTTCTACGTCCCATAAAATAGTTTCTACTTTAGTTTGGATTGGAATTTAAGAAAGTAGAATAAAATGAAAATGCATGGAAGACACTCAAAACTTTCCAAAAAAAGGAAATGACAATAACTGTTTTTTGGGACAGTCCAACAACTAAAGTGAGAAATATTTTATTGATAGATGAAGTACAAATTAATTTCTTTTAAAATTTTTAATTAATTTCATATAATTTAATTTCATTAATTATTTTGACAAAAATACATATCAATTCATTTCACATCTTAAATCTTAAAAATTTATAAACACCAATGATGGTTAGGACATTTTAGGAATGATAAAAATTTTGGTGTAACACTAAAGCAAGATATACTTGTACAATTTTTTTTAATTGATGTACCCTTCATCATTATACATATTTACGCTCCTTACAACCGTTAAGTTCAAACGGTTAGCGTTTCTACTTAACATTCTATCCGTAGGTTTTTATTATTATTCTATGTATACTTATTTGCTTTTATTTTTATTTAATGTTTTCATTATTTTAAATCTTTTCTCTATTTACTTATATCTTACGTAGAATATAAATTTTCATCTTCTCCTTTAGGAATGAAATGTCCGATACCCAGTAAATTGTCCACACGGTTTGACAATATATCTTTGTTAGGAGTTGTTATGTCATCTTATTTTTATTGCTTATTCTTATTTTGTTCATATCAGATCAGATCAAAACGAAAAAATTCAAATATAATTAGATCAGATAAAAAATTCCAAATTAGGTCACATCAAATAGATTTAGATCATAAATATATAGATCAGATCATATCGGATCAAATAAGATCGGATGAAAAAAAAATCAGACTTAATTTATTACTTTTATTATAATTATTATTATTAATAATATTATTATTATGCACAAAGTTTTTGTGCAATTTCAAACAATTCAAATATACTAATCATTAACATTCCATAATGTTAACCCTATCAAAATAACTTTGGGCATCTTCCCTTCGCGCATTGCGCGTCGTACCACTAGTAGTTAAAATAAAAAATGAATTGGCATGCATTTGGAATTGCATTATCCGAATGGGGTGAGATTAAAAAGTCAAAAACAAACATTTGGAAACCCATGTTCGGAATGGGTTAAAAAAATAAAAGAAATTTTTCGATTCGGAATGAGGTCTTCCGAATGGGCTAAAATATGATTTAATACAAAACACCTAATCTACTCGGAATAGAGACTTCCGAATCACGTATTTTCAGAAAACCCTAATTTTTTCCTGTGTTGCACTCCATGCTCACATTTCCCGTCTTTTGGGAAAACTGCCTCAAATATGTATGGTTATAATTGTTATTTTTGTTTCTTCTTATGTACTACTTTGAACTGCCATGTTGATAATGTTGATTAATTTTACGCTCTTCACATTTGCCATATTTTCCCCGTTGGGCATCAAACCTCGCGCAACGCGCCTGCCAAATCTAGTTTGTATAATATAAGTCGAATGTAAGGAGAACATGAAAATGCGTTACCCGAAAACTGGAAAAGTGGAAAAAGGAGAACATGAAAATGCGTTACCCGAATACTTTTGTTGGAAAATAGAGAAAAGAAAACAATTCAAGAAAATGTGTTTACCAAAACCAAAAAATGAGGTATGTCTGTCTTTCCTTTATTGTTAGAGAAGTAAATTTTACTACTTTTCTAAATTTGGAATGCATGGTCGATGTAGTGCTTCTATAATGAAATTGCCTACTTATATGTGAGTTATGTTTAGTGGTAGACCCGGTCTTGCTCAGATTTTGGTTCTGGTCTAGACCGATCAACACTTGGGCGGCCCGTTCTAGTCCGAGCGACAATCAGGTGGTCCCAGTCTAGTCAAGCCGACCACCAGGCAGTCCCGGTTCAGTCCGGTTGACGACGACCCTGCGGTCCATGTCTGGTCGGTTGACAATCCGGTGATCCCTATCCCGGTCTGATCCCTGTTTTTTAAAAATTATTTTTTCAAAATGAAAAATTTGAAAAGAGCCTTTGGGTCGCCAACCAATAGAGAAAAAAGGAAAAGAATCAGTCAAACTAGCCGTTGGGACCGACCGAGACCAAAATTGGAGAGAGCTAATTCCCTAAACGGGACTAAAATAGAAGATAATTGCTCAAAGTGTAACACCGTTCCCAAATATATTTACTTTTATGTAAATAATAATGTATTGAATCTTATTAAAGGATTAATGAATTTACGAAGTTGTAAATTTTTATTATTTCTTTCGCGTGAATAGTGAATTGCACGTGGGACCCACACCGGGAGCGGGGGCCGCCCGATATTCCCGAGATCACATGAATTATTCTTATGGGTCGAAATAATATTTATATAGTGGTGAATAGCTTATTCGGGCCATGGGAAGGCCTGGGGTTGACCGGTAGGTCAAAAGAAGCCCAATTATCGGTACCGACAATTTAACGGATAACAGCCCGAAAATGAATTTCGAAGACTTCCAAATTAAAGTTTTGAAATATATATTATTTCAAAGGGGTGTTATGATTGAGAGTGAGTTATGTATTTTATTTTACCCGATAAAATAAAATATATTTAAAACAGTCCGAAAAATACAACTTTCGGGGTCGAATATACATTCCGGGACAAGTTGGGATGACCTCCCACATGAGTGGGGGCCACCCCACGTTTTTGGGTATCAATTGGGACTTGTGTGGCCGCACAACATGTGAGGATGAAGCTAAATTGATTGGAATGGGATCATTTGAGGTGTGGACCTCACCCACACACATTATTTGTCAACTAAGACAAAGAAGGACACTTCTTACCTCTTTCCTCATCCTTGTGCTCGACCAACCCCTCCAAGAAGAAGAAAATTGAGCTCTCAAAACACTCTCCATTGCTGCAACTCGAGCTCAAGCCATAGAGGTCCAAGGAGGAAGATTTGAGAAGGAAAAATCTAGGAAAAGTGTGAATAATAAAGGTAATGACCTTATATTAACTTTTCCTTTATTTTTCTTCTACCATATGAAGTATATATCATGTGAAGAACCTTTATTATGGTTCCATATGTTATAAGGGTGGATTCATGGGTTGGAAGGTGGTTCTCCGTCCAAAAACGGACTTAGAAGCCAAAACGACCGGTTCACCGGAAAATAACCTTTTAGAGGCTAATTGTATTAATATGGGTTTTATGATTATAAAACCTTGTTAGGCACTTGTAAAGGGTATTTCAAGTGATTTCACAAAGTTGGAAAAGTCGCCGGAGTTGTCGCCGGAGTTGACCAAAAGTCGCCGGAGTTTCACCGGAGTTCAACCAAGAAGGGTAGAACTTCATAACGCTAGTTCAAGGTGAGTGGACGGCTTAATATCTTATAACTTTTGGGTTAATTATGAGATTACCTAAATAAATGTTATATGAGTTCATAATGATGTTTAAAAGATATTTAAACATGTGATTAGCCAATAGGGTTAAGATTGTATGAAAGAAATAAATTGTTTGTGCATGGAATATGATATGAAGAATTATATAAAATACAAGATGCACCAATGAATATTATTAACTTAATTACATGATGATTAAGTTGATAAGTGTAAGACTTGAAATGGCGGTCAACGACAACGTTGACCGATGGATAATGGATTAATTAATATCGGTTGATATTAGTTAATTATACATTTATATAATTGCATGGCTTTGCATGGATTGTGATACATAAGCTTTATGTATTGAATTAGTTATGAGTAACTAAGTATGATATAGACTCTATCTAGGTTGATAGGAGGTTGATCATAGGAAAATATTTTGGTGGAGGACCCTAGTACTTAAAAGTACTTAACACTCAAAATTTGGTGGAGGACCCTAG